TGTACTTGCGCCCTATCTCACAAATGAGTTATATGTAGGTATAACTATAAGCCATTCAGATAATAATAAATTAACACATATTAACTGTAATGAATATCTTTGTTACGTAGACGAATTATCCTTATAACTTCTGAACTTTATTACCGAATTACTAATTCGGATTAATTATTCGAGAATTGTTATGATTTTTTATCATTGTTGTATTAATAGAAAAATAATTATACGTGGCTAAAAAATTTTTTATTATACTTAGACACTGGGCTCTGCCCATAAATAAACAATACATGTATTACGAAATAATTTATGAATTTCTTGACCGAGTCGGTCAGCGAAGTCACGTGTCTTGGCGCAATAAATGACGATTATCTCTATTCAAACTTTTCTTCTATAGCATCGATCTCGTCCCAACTTAATTTAGAAATTCTCAATGCAGAATAAGATTTTACCAGTTGTATCTTCTCATATCCAATATTACTGAAAAGGTAGTAAATCTTCCTTGCCCTTTCTAGTCTTTTCTCGATTGCATTCCTCGAAAGGTCGTTAGGGAGCTGTTCTGTGACCTCATCGATAAGTTTTTTCTTAGCCTTATGGTCTCTATTACTTTTTTTATAATACTCAAACCTATCCTCAAGTTTTTTCCCAAACGCAAAATAGCTCCTAATAACTTCCTGATTTGTGGTCCTCACTTGTTCTTCGGCCTTAATAAGCGCATTGTACAGGTCAATAAAATTACCCGAGCTCGTGACTGTTTGCAAAGAGGTGGTACTCGAAGAGCTTGGTGATGATAACTCCTTGATAAGTTTTTTTAACATGGATGAATCTTCATTTTTTACCTTCACTTTCTTGCTAGATGATTTGCTGATAGATTCACTAACACGCTTTTTAGACGGACTTGGGAAGAGGGGATCAGTAAATAATGACGGGGATATATCCATCAAATCGTTAATATTCTGACTTCCAGGCATGCTGTCAACCGTAGATTCTACCTCCTTCTTGCAAT